GATTTTTTCCTGTGTCACCTTCTTTTCATTTAGGTTTATCATCCACCTAAAGTTATTTTTTTGTGAGGGGTCTTCTCAAAGAACCAGCTTTTTGTTTCATCGATTTTCTGTATTGATTTCTTGGTTTTAATTTCATGGATTTCTGCTCTAAACTTTATTCTTTCTTTTCTTTCACTTTGGATTTAATTTGCTCTTCTTTTTTCTATTTTTTTTTTTTTTTAGAGAGATTACACAAGCAGGTGAGAGGGACAGAACGAGAGACGGAGAGAGTGAGAGAGAGAGAGAGAGAGAGAGAGATTGAGAATCCTAAGCAGGCTCCACACTCAGTGCTGAGTTTGACATGGGGCTCAATCCCACAACCCTGGGATCGTGACCGGAGCTGAAACCAAGTGTCGGGTTCTCAACTGACTGAGCGGCCCAGGTGCCCTTATTTTTTTCTAATTTTCTAAGGCAGAAGCTTATATTATTGATTTTGGATCTTTCTTCTTTCTAATATATTCATTAACTGCTATATATTTCTTTCTAAGCACTGATTTCATTGCATCCTACAAATCCTGGTAAGTTGTAATGTTTGTTTAGTTTTTAAATATTTAAAAATGTCTCTCGGAGCACCTGGGTGGCTCAGTTGGTTAAGTGACCGACTTCGGCTCAGGTCATGATATCGCAGGTCGTGAGTTCGAGCCCCGTGTCGGGCTCTGTGCTGACAGCTCAGAGCCTGGAGCATGCTTCAGATTCTCTCTCTCTCTGCCCCTCCACTGCTCATGCTCTGTGTCTCTCTGTCTCTCAATAATAAATAAACGTTAAAAAATTAAAAAAAATTCTCTTGAGATTTCTTTTTTGACTCATACTTTATTTATAGATGTGTCATTTAACCTCCAAGTATTGTGGTATTTTCCAGCTATCTTTCTTTATCGATTTCTCTTCAATCCCATTGTGGTCTGAGAGCAGACATTGCATGATTTCTCTCTTTTAAAATTTGTTCAGCATGTTTTATGGCCCAGAATGTGATCTGTCTTGGTGAATGTTACATGTGAGGTTAAGAAGACTGTGTACCCTGCTGTTGTTAGATGAAGTAGTCTATAGATGTCCATTATATCCAATTGATTGATGGTGCTGTTGAGTTAAACTTGTTTTACTAATTTTTTTGCTTGCTAGATATGCCAATTTTTGATAGAGGGCTGTTGAAATGTCCAACTATAATAGATTTATATATTTCTCAAAGTTTTGCAGTTTTATCAGTTTTTCCTTTATATACTTTTAAAAAATATTTTTAAGTTTACTTATTTATTTTGAGAGAGAGTGAGTGAGCAGGGGAGGAGTTGAGAGAGGGGAAGAGACACAGAATCCCAAGCAGGCTCTGCACTGGCAGCACCAAGCCCAGTGTAGGGCTTGAACTAATGAACTGTGAGATCATGACCTGAGCCAAAGTCAAGAGTCAGACACTCAACCGACTGAGCCACCCAGGCACCTCTGCTTTATATGTTGTGACACTATGTTGTTAGGCACATACATGTTAAGAATCATTATGTCTTCTTGGTGAACTGATCCCTTTATCATTATATGATGCCTTTTTTTTATTCCTAATAACTTCCTCTACTTTGATGTGTACTATGTTTAATATTAATATAGCCATTCCTGCCTTCTTTTGATTAGTGTTAGTATGGTATGTCTTTCTCCATCCATTTACTTTTTCAATTTTTTTTTATTTAAGTATAGTTGACACACAATATTATATTAGTTTCAGGTGTACAACATAGTGATTTTTCAGTTATATACATTACAAAATGCTCACCACAATAAGTGTAGTTATCATCTGTCTCCATATAGAATTATTGCAATATTATTGAGTATATTCTCTATGCTGTACTTCTCATCCCCATGACTTGCTTATTTTATAACTGGAAGTTTGTACCTCTTTATCCCTTTCACCTACTTTGCCCATCCCCCCACTCTCCTCCTATGTGGCAACTACCAGTTTGTTCTCCATGTTTATGAGTCTATTTCTATCTTTATGTTTGTTTTATTTTTTGGATTCCAACTATAAGTGAAATCATATGGTATTTGTCTTTTTCTGACTGACCTATTTCACTTAGCATAATAATTTCTGTGTCCATTCATGTTGTCATAAGTGGCAAGGTTTCATTCTTTTTTATGTCTAAGTAATATTTCATTACACACATACACACATGCAAACACATATATAGCAAATCTTCTTTATCCATTCATCTATCAGTGGACACTTAGGTTGCTTTGATATTTTGGCTTTTGTAAATAATTCTTCAATGAACATGGGGTGTCCATCCATTTACTTTTAATCTATATGTGTCATTATACTTAAACAGGGTTTCTTGTAGGTATCATATTATGTCATTATACATAAAGAGGGTTTCTTGTAGATATCATATTGTTGGGTCTTACTTTTTGGTCTGCTTTGATAATCTCTGTCTTTTAATTGATACATTTAGTGATTATTGATATAGTTAGATTAATATCTAATATAGTTGGCACTGCTTTCTGTTTATTGCCCTTGTTCTCTACTTCTGTTTTTCTCCTATCCTTTTTCTGTATTTTTAATTTTATTTTTTTTTAATTTTTTAAAGTTTAGTTTTGAGAGAGAGAGAGAGACAGAGCATGAGCATGGGAAAGGCAGAGAGAGGGAGACAGAATCTGAAGCAGGCCCTAGGCTCTGAGCTGTCAGCACAGAGACCAATGTGGAGTTTGAACTCACAACTGTGAGATCATGAGCTGAGCTGAAGTCAGATGCTCAACCAAGTGAACCACCCAGGTGCCCCTGCATTTTGTAGTTTTAATTGAGAATTTTATATGACTCCATTTTATCTTCTTTCTTGGAGTATATCAATTATATATTTTTTTAAGATTTTATATTTTTAAAGTAACTTTTACACCCAATGTGGGGCTCAAACTCACAAGCCTGAGATCAAGAGTTGCAAATCTACTGACTGAGCCAACTAGGCACCCCTTTCCATTACATTAAAAAAAAAAAACAGCAAAAAAACTTTGCTTAGTGGTTGTTCTAGAAGTTGCAATATTTATATTTAATCCAAATCTACAATCCCTCTATTTATATTTAATCCAAATCTACATTCCAATAACATTATACAGCTTCATGAGTAAGTACTTAATAATAACCAAATAATCCTAATTCCTCCCTCATATCCTAGTCTCATTGCTGGCATTCATTTTACTTAGATATAAGCATATAGATAGTCAAAGACAGTATTGCTATCATTAATTTGAATAAACTTGTTAGATCAATTAAGAATAAAGAAAGAAAACTTTTTATTTTACCTTCACTTATTCCTTTAATGCTCTTCCTTTTTTACGTAGATCTGAGTTTTCTACCTATAGCATTTTCCCTGTCTCTAAAGAACTTCTAACACTTAATGCAAGGCACATCTACTGGCAACAAATTCCTTCATTTTCTATTTCTGAGGAAGTCTTTATTCAGTTTTTGAAGGATAATTTTATAGGGTACAGAATTCTAGGTTGGTAGTTAGTATCTCATATCTCTTATGGATCTAAGAAGAGTTCTTGATTTTTTTTTCAGTTCATTCAGCTTTTTAACTTTTAAGAATGGAGTAGTAACTTCGAACTTCTTTTTAAAAAATTTTATCATTTTATTTATTTTTGAGAGACAGAGACAGAGTGGGAGTGGGGGAGGGGCAGAGAGAGAGGGAGACACAGGATCTGAAGCAGGCTTCAGGCTCTGAGCTGTCAACACAGAGCCTGATGCAGGGCTCGAGCTCACAAACCGTGAAATCATGACCTGAGCCAAAGTAGGACACTTAATCGACTGAACCACCCAGGCACCCCTATCCTTTCAGTTTTTAAAAATATAAGCAAATTTAACATGTATGTTAGTTTTTACCCCTGTTCATAGGTAAAATGTGGCTTATTCTACAACAGTGCAGTCCAATAGAAATTGCTGTGGAAATGAAAATTTTCTGTATCTCTGTTGCTCAATATTAACACAGTGAATGTTAGTGAGGAACTGAGTTTATAGTGTTATTTAAATATGGTTTATTAAGTTTAAATGCCACGTGTGGCTAGTGGTTTCTGTATTGGACAGGAGCAACTTTGAATACTTTACATACTTTTCTACACCTTGTTTTTCACCGAACAATGTATCCTGGAGATCACTTCATAGTAGTATAGAAAGGGAGCACCCACTGGTTTTTATAGCTGTATAGTACTCTAGGATGTAGGTTTACCTTAGATTATTCAACCAATCCCTTATTGATTGATATCTGTCATGTGTCTAGTCTTATGCTACTATGAATTGTTCTTCAAGGGATGGTTTTATGCTTATGCTTTTTTGTCTTTTTGCATTTTTTTCTTTGGGGTAGATTCTTAGAAGAATGATTTCTGGTTCCAAGAATAAATACCTGTGTAATTTTACTAGATAGCATCAAATCCCCACCACAGAGATTTTACATTATCTCTAGCAATGCATCAGAATCCTGTTTCCTCACAGAGTATCTAAGATGAACTCTGAGGGAAGGTGAATATGATGTGAGAAATCTATGAAAACTATTTCACAAATCAGGAAAATTAGATGTTTGGACAAGGGTCTTAGTCCTCCTTGTCTTTGATACTCTTGCTCTATCCTTTTTTGTCTCCTATGGTTCTAGGTCCAGGCCCCTCCAACTGACAGAGGAGGCCTTAACATGAAGCAGAAACTTCATGTTTATCTGAGAATACTAAATGGAAGATCTTCCCTTTAGTGATAAGGCAGGCAAAAAATCCAGTTCAGAAATAAATCATACTCACCTAACAAAAGGCTAGAGGAGAAAGCAAAATCTATAGGTAGTTTTATGAGGAGAAACAAGATTGACGTTGTTCTTTACTTTCTGTGAGTGAGACCTTGGAGAAGGAAGTAGGAGCCTGTTCGCAATATGCAAAAAAGGTGTCAGTTACAAGGTGCAACCGTCTTCTAGGGTTAAAATTCTGACCTCTAAACACTGTGATTTTCTGTTTAGATGCTGAATTTCTGGGACTCAGGATGAAAATTGGACTAAACTTGCTTGAAATAGAGTCCATTTGAGGTCAAGCCTCAACACCTCATAGGGTGAGCATTAACATCCATTTTGCTGCCTGTGGACCTTTCCACTTATGCAGGTATGGAGATCAAGGGAGACAAAGTGTAGGATACAGATATTGAATTGAACTGACAGTGCCTGGCGCAAAGTAAACACCCAATACACATTAATAAATTAATGAGATGTAGATGTAGGAATAAGCAGAATAGGAAATTATGTATATGTTCTCTCAATATTTTTTATAAACATATGAATTTTCAAAAGAGAGTTGTGATCACTAAGTACTTACTGTTTAATAATCTCCTTTGAGGAAACATTTTATGTCTGATTATAAAAAATTATGCTTTTTCATTGGTAAAAATAACGTGTAGAAAATGGAGAAAGATGCCACCTAACGATCAGAGTCAGAGTTGCAGGTGTAAAAGCCTCTTCTAGGGAACTTGGAAAAGGATGAGGTAATGGGAGAGAGTGAGGCTTGTGTATGGATTTTATTGTATAGGCAAAGCTTTCTGGAATTTTCTACGCACTAGTTGTGATTCTGCTGTATTCTTTGTTGTTGATAAAGGAATTCTTATGTGCACAGTCTTTTAACCCCACTCAGTCACATAAGAGTGGGCCTTGGGCCTGGAACACATATCTATCAAGAGATAAAGAGTGCACATAGCCTGTGCTGGGTTTTTGCCTTGTGTGGGAATATCTTTCTCTGTTTCAGATTCAGTCAGTACTCCTTTGTTTTGCTTAAGATTGTTTGGCAATGGCCCTTAGGCACACCCCCACCTTTCGGTATTTGTCACATCACCAGTTAATGGTTTTGTTGTTTAAGATACATAAAGCAATATCAAAATTTGCATTAGAAATTAAAATTATTCTGTATGTTCTTTCTGTCTCCACCTTCTCCACCCACATAATACAAAGATAGTCACTGTTAGTTTATTCAAAACTATTCTCAGATTCTTTTTCTCTATATCTAATACACTAATTTTAACCACACACAGACATCTATAAACCCACGTTGATATATTCTTTGCATAATGAGACCCATATTCTATATTATTTTTTATATTTTTCTTTTTTTGACTGTCTTCATTTTTATTATTTTTTAACGATAAGCTCTAGGCCCAACGTGGGGCTTGAACTCACAACCCTAAGATCAAGAGTCACATGCTCTACCAACTGAGCCAGCCAGGCACCCCCTACATTATATTTTTGACTTGTCTGACTGATTAAAGATGATTCTTTTTCATATTATTTATTTATTTGTGGTGTGTTTCTAAGTATTTGTTGGGGATTTGTATTGTTTTTTATGTGCATTCTCTCTCTCTTTTTTCTATTGAGATATAGTTGATATATAACATTATATTAGTTTCAGGTATACAAAATAATAATTCAATACCTGTATATATTACAAAATGATCACTACAATAAGTCTAGTTAGCATTGATCACCACACATAAGTACAAATTTTTTTTCTTGTGATGAGAACTTTTAATATATATTCTCTTAGTTTCCCTGAACAAAATAAAATATTGTTTTACACATTTTAACTATATAAACACACAGCTATTTTCCAGTTTGCTGACATCTTTAATATATACATAATATGTCATATATATTTTACATAATATATTATACATTAAATATATCTAATATTCTATATATTTATTATACATAATTACTTATAATATAGAATATTATGCAATAACTATATACAATTAATAAATATATATGATGATATATGTTATGTAATTTAAAATGAATATTATAATATGTAATGTATTTACTATATATTAATTATTACATATGTATATAATTTAACTTTATACCTGTTTATTAAAATTACATGTTGCATATGTCCCTCCTGGTCCTTACACTCAGGGAGTATTGTGAGGAATTCAAGAAGAAAAGCTCTTCAAGATTCCAGTGCAGTATTTGGTACATCATGCATAATGCCAATGTTTGCAGCCTTCCCATTCCAGCTCTTCTGATCTTTAACAGGGAAGTTGTTTCTTAGTTTCAATAAAATTACTATATTTTAGTGAGCATTTGGGAATGTAAGAAGGGAAACACACACACACACACACACACACATTTTATGGGAAATTTGGTGCCATCTCTGTGATATGCAGTGTAAAGGAGCTGGGCTGAGGGAAAATTCCTCACCCCTCATATGGGAACAATTGTGCGTTTCTTCTCTGTTGATGCCTTCTTTACTCACATCAGAATTGCATGTAATCTTGAGTCTGGGACCTATTGGAAGCTCTAGGAAGAGGTGGTTGGGGGTTGGCAAGGAGCGATACTGCAGTGAGAGTCAGGAGCTCTTCCTGGGTCTCAGTACTGGAGCCATCCCAGGGTGAGTTCCTTCCTCTGCTGTGACCTGCACCATGATGCAGGTGTTCACTGAGCATCCATCACTCTTTATACCTTCAGTGGCCCAGGGGCTACAGAGGTCATGGTAATGGTTTCACAGGGTCCTCGTCCTTTAGAAGTTATAGTGAACCTTGTAGAATCTTCTTAATGTATAAAGAGAAGGAATGGCTCACTGGAGTAGTCAGAGACTCTTCAAAGAGGAGGTGGGCCTGGCACAGTGATCAGGACTTGTGGATTATGAATAGGAGGGAAGTGACAAGGAGTCCAGAGTAACTGGTGAAGTGTGGGGGCTCCCAGATGAGCAGACAGGCCTCAGAGGTAACTGATTGGATACTCCAGGGGGCTGAGGCCATTCTGATTTGGTATCGATTAGAGATCTTAAAAGGACACATTTACTTCAATGGGATGCTACATAGCCCCCTTACACACTGAAATGACACAACTGTTGGTAAGAAGTAAAGTACATGTCTCACTAGTCCGTGGGGGCAGGAAAGAACCAGGATCACTGACAGTAGTAAAGCTGAGTTGATGTTTAGCTCCCTAAACCTTCATTAAAGCAGAAGCAGATATCAAGGGGAAGGATTTACTGTTAATGGATCCCTACGGTGTCTGGAAATGATATTCTCACTGACCCCACATTCTATAGAATCCCATCTTGTCAGCAAGTTTCTGCCTGCTTCTTCAGTGTCATTCTTTTTTTTTTTTTTTTTTTTTTTTTTTTTGAGAGACTTCCAGCAGGTGAGAGGGATGGGGGGTGGAGGGGTGGAGAGAGAGAGAGAATCTCAAACTGGCTCCACGTTCAGTGCAGAGCCCAATGCTGGCTCCATCCCACGACCCTGGGATCATGACCTGAGCTGAAATCAAGTATCAGACACTCAACTGACTGAGCCACCCAGGTGCCCCCTGCAGCCGCATTCTTAACCAGAACATTTTCTCCACCTGTTAGCTCTCTCTCCATGCTTTCATTTGTTTCATCTCTGCATCCTACCAGAGATCACTCAGTGAGACTTTTCTCCTCTTTTGTTGCCTCAACTCCTTTCATGAGTTCAGTGGGTTATATCAGAGCACAATACTGGACAAGTTTAGGCAAAATTTAGCATTTACCTTCACTGTCCTTTACATGTGAAAGACACTTTGCACACTTATTTCTGCAGGGTTAAATGTGGCACCATGACCACAACTGGAATGGATTTTTTGACCAAACACCCACTTATTGTTGGGTCACTGTGTTGTGGTAGACACATAGCTCTGCATACTTTACTCAAATGTGCATTTTACTATTGTCCATACTATCTGACCTTTTCAAATGTGTTCACACTACCTGATCTTTTTAATTGTGTTCAGTAGAATCTCTGCACAGGATTTCACCTGGTATGTGATGGTTTGTTTCTGGATTTTAATCATGTTATCTGCACATGTTGCCACATACATAATTGGCTCTATCACTTTATTCTTTTTGGGTAGTTTCAGTGTTTTATTATGTGGACCCACAATGCTCCTTTCATTTATCTCTAAATTCATATTTCTGCCAATTTACCAAAGGTTGAGATTAACAAAGATACAAAGGATGATTCCTAGTCCATCTTGAGTCCTTTTACCTTACAGCAGAAGTATCTAATAACCAAGGAATGGATCTGATGAAATAAGATAGGTACATTTGCACAATTTGGAACATCTGGGAAGCATTGCATTCCAATAAAGATACTTTTAAGGAAAGAGAAAAGATCACTGAGGCCAAAGTAGCCAAATACCTTAAGAAGTGATATTTAGTTCTTAACCATCTATTTAAAATATGGGGGAAATGTGTACCCTTATCTCAGTATATCTGCCATTCATTCATTGATTTATACATTCATGAATAATAGGTGCCCCAAACCTATTGGTAAATACCTGCATGCTCAGCACTTTCCATTGGTGTGGTCAATAAAATCCTGTTGCCACCTACCATTTATAGTGGTATAGTCTTCAGTATTTCTTTTACATATATTTAGAACCACATCAAATAGTGTTATACTTTTTGTTTCAACCAGCAAACAAAATTTGGAAATGTCAAGAGGAAAAGGAAAATATTTAACCATACTTTGTGCTTTCTGTTGTTTTTTGTCCTTCCATATTTTTCTAGATTTCTTCTTATATCGATGCCTTTCTGTTTCTTTTACCCATTCTTTAGGGTGTATCTGATGGTGACAAATTATTTTAGTTTTACTTCATTTAAGAATGTCTTTTTTACTGCTATTCCACCATGAGATACCACCTCACACCTGTCAGAATGGCTAACATTAACAACTCAGGCAACAATAGATGTTGGCAAGGATGCGGAGAAAGAGGATCTTTTTTGCATTGCTGGTGGGAATGCAAGCTGGTGCAGCCACTCTGGAAAACAGTATGGAGGTTCCTCAAAAAACTAAAAATAGAACTACCCTATCACCCAGCAATTGCACTACTAGGAATTTATCCAAGGGATACAGGTGTGCTGTTTCAAAGGGACACATGCACCCCAATGTTTATAGCAGCATTATCAACAATAGCCAAAGTATGGAAAGAGCCCAAATGTCCATCAATGGATGTATGGATAAAGAAGATGTGGTATATACATACAATGGAGTATTACTTGGCAATCGAAAAGAATGAAATCTTGCCATTTGCAACAACGTGGATGGAACTGGAGGGTATTAAGTGAAACTAGAGAAAGACAAATATCGTACGACTTCACTCATATGAGGACTTTAAGAGACAAAAGAGATGAACATAATGGAAGGGAAACAAAAATAATATAAAAACAGGGAGGGGGGACAAAGCATAAGAGACTCATAAATATGAAGAACAAACAAAAGGTTACTGGAAGGGTTGTTTAGGAGGGGGGATGAGCTAAATGGGTAAAGGGCATTAAGGAATCTACTCCTGAAATCATTGTTGCACTATATGCTAACTAATTTGGATGCAAATTTAAAAAAATTAAAATATAAATAAATAAAATAAAACAAAATAAAATAGAATAGTGAATTGCCAAAAAAAGAATGTCTTTTTTACTGCTATTAATTTTTCAAGGATAATTCAATTGGAGATAGAATTTGAGGTTGACAGTTCCTTTATTTCAGCACTTGAAAAATGTGCCATTTCCTTCTGGGCTTCACAATTTTTCAAAGAAATATGCTGTCCTTCATACCATATACATCCTGTAAGTAATGCATTCTTTCTTTGATTTCAAGATCATTATTATTATTTGTTTTTAGTTTCTTGGGCTTTCGTAGGAATGCCTTTAGTGTTTATCCATTTAGTAGAATGCTAGTTTTTTGTCTGAGGCATGTACACATATTTTCACATTAAGAAATTACCTACTAAATCCAATTTTATTGAGTTTTTTAAAAACATGAGTGTTGATGCTATTAAATACCTTCCTGCATATGATTGTGTCATGTAATTGTTTCCTTGGCTCTGTGAATACACTAGGTTATATTCAATAAGTTTCTTGATATTGAAACACCTTTGCATTTTTAGAATAAACTATAAGTTCATGATCGATTTTTATGTGCTAATATGGGCCATCCTGGTGAAGATGACAGTGATTGCAGAGATTTTGTTGTCCTGTGTCCAGACTAACATCCAAATCCCTAGGTTGGTTTAGGCATGCATTCCATTTTGAAGTTCAGCTGATTTTTTATACTTTTTTTCTTTTTAAATTTTTGTTCTAGTTTTATTGATATACAATTGACATACTATTGTATAGGTTTAAGGGTAATACAGCATAATGATTGATTTATATATATTGTGAAACAGTTACAATAATTTTAGTTAAGATCTATCATCTCAAAAAGACACACAAAAAAAGAAAAGTTTTTTCATTGTGATGAAAAGTTTTAGGATCTATTCTATTAACAACTTTCAAATATACCGTACAACGTTAACTATAGTCATCATTTTGTACATTACATCCCTACTACTTATCTATTTTTAGTTTTTTTAAGTTTATTTATTTTGATAGAGAAAAATAGAGTGAGAGAGAGAGAGAGAGCAAGAGAGTGAGAGCACACAAACAGGGGAGGGGCAGAGAGAAGGAGAGACAGAATCCCAAGCAGACTCCACACCATCAACACACAGCTCCTTGTGGGGCTCAAACCCATGAACGGTGAGATCATGACCTGAGCCGAGGTCAAGAGTCTGATGCTTAACAGACTAAGCCACCCCAGATGCCCCACTCAATCTATTTTTTTTTAATTTGTGTATAGTTGATATACAATGTAACATTAGTTTCAGGTATAGAACATAGTGATTCAAAATTGTATATATTATGCTGTACTGACCAGAAGTATAGCTACCATCTGTCACCACTACTTCCCTATCTTATAACTGGAAGTTTGTAATTTTATCCAGTTCCCCCTCCCCGTAGCCTCCATCCTTGGTAACCAAAAATCTGATCTCTTTTTCTGTAGGTTTTATTTTGTTTATTTGTTTAGATTCTGTATATAAATGAAATCATACAGTATTTGTCTTTTTCTGTCTTATTTAATTTAGGATAATGCCTTCAAGGTCCATCCATGTTATTGTTAGCTGATTTGTATTATAAGTACTCTGCACATGTATATTTTCCTTTCCTTTTACTATTTTAGTTGTACAAGGAAAATACTTCAAAGCTGTTTTAATCCACGTGTGTTGATTACCCTGGGCCCTGGTCTGAAGGAGCCTATGACTGAAGTTCTCCCTGAATCTAAGCGTTGAAGCATTTTCCCCTCTGGCTGCTGTGGGCTGAGTGCTGGGCAACCTCATGCAGCTTTTACCTTTCTCTCTCAGGTGGGTCTCTGCTTGGCTAACTGGGAGGTTAAACCCATAAGCCTGCTTTCAGTTAAAGGTCAAGGTACATTTCTTTGGAGAGAACAAAAAAAAGCATATTGTGAAAATACTTTTGTCTCATAACCTTCACTAAATCCTAGGAAGTAGAGAAATCATAGCACTACAGAATATAAGGTTTATTTGAGAGATATGCTTGTCCTTCCCCTAGGCATTTGTATGTCCCTGTAGCTGCTCAGTTAAGACTGTCATGTAGTAGATTCATAAATTAGTTCTGGAACCATCCTATTATCTAATTTCTTTGATTTAGGGATGTCCCCATTCTAACACTGAGCCCATTTCCTATAGGAAAGGCTGGGGATATTTAAGTTTTCTGATTACTTTTTTTAAGTTTCAAATCCAAGGCACTTTCATTGTAGATAAAAACAGAAAATACATGAAAACAAAATAAAACTCATTACAAATGTTTAAAAGTCTATTACTTATGGATAGGTACTAGCAGTTGAATAAATTTGTAATTTTCATAAATTTACCATGAAAATATAGCCATGTATATTTAATAGCAATGAAATGATATCCTACTGACAACTTTGTAAACTTTTTTACAACAAACATACTATGAAGGTCAATCCATGCCATTTAATATAAGCCCGTATAACAAAAATGGTAGTAGAAACACTAATGGTCTGGTATGATAATAATGATAAGAAAAGTTAATATTATTGCTGATTTCCCCATGCCCCACACTGTTGTAAGTGCTAAATCCATACCTACTCATTTCAACCTATGACGAGGAGCTGTTGTTGCTCAAATTTACACAGCAGGGAACTGAGGCACAGTGAAGTCAGGGCTAGAAAGTCACAAAATTAAGATTTCAACAGATTTTTTTGGGCTGCTAAGCACCTACATTTAGCCAGTGTCCACTTCTGCTTTTCATTTTATAAGACCCTCAAACTTACTGTTGACAGGGTACAGCAAAAGAAAACTAATTAAGGTCCTATGTTTTTTTTTTTTCTTCAGTTAACTAGGAAAACATTTAAAATATTGATCATTAGTGTGGCTTGGAATTTGGAAAATGGTATCGTCTTATACCGTGGAAAATCCTCCTCCAGTATCTTGTCTCCCTTCCTCGGACCGAGGGATATTCTGATTCTAAAGTGAATGGCTTACCTGTGGTTGGGGCAGAAAATACTTTTGTTTTTCAGCCGTTTCAATATTTTGTGTAATTGCAAGAGCAATGGATGTTTATTACAATTAAAAGTAGATGACATGGAAAGGGAAATCATAATACCTCAAAGTCCACTGCTTGAAGTAAAGCCCTTTTTTTTTTCAAAATTTTATCTAAATTCCAGTTAGTTAACATACAGCACAATACTGGTTTTAGGATTAGAATTCAGTAATTCATCACATACATATATCACCCATTGCTCATCATAACAAATGCCCTCCTAAGTGCCCATCACTCATCTAGCCCATACCCCACCTCACTCCCTCCATGAGCCCTCAGTTTGTTCTCTAACTTTAAGAATTTCTCATGGTTTGTTTCCCTTTCTCTTTTTTTCCCCTTCCCATGTTATCATCTGTTTCTTAAATTCCACATATGAGTGAATACAAAGTACACTTTAGCTCCATCCACATCATTGCAAATGGCAAGATTTCATGCTTTTTGATGGCTGAGTAATATTCCATTATATATATTTCTTTCATAAGTGTTTCTTTCATAACATTTCTTTCACAAGTGTTCTATAGTTTTCAGAGTACAGGTCTTTTACATCTTTGGTTATGTTTATTCCTAGATATCTTATTGTTTTTGATGCAATTGCAAATGGGAATGATTACTTGATTTCTTTGCTGCTTGGTTATTTTGTAATTGCAACAGATTTCTGCATATTGATTTTGAATTCTGTGACTTTGCTGAATTCATGTATTAGTGCTAGGAAATTTTTTGCTTGAGTCTTTTGGGTTTTCTATATAGAGTATTGTGTCATTTACAAATAGTGGAAGCTTAACTTCTTCCTTTCCAATTTGGACGCCTTTTATCTTTTTTTGTTGTCTGATTTTTGAGGCTAAGACTTCCACTGCTATGTCAAATAGTAATGGTGAGAGTGGACATCTTTGTCTTGTTCCTGACCATCGGGGAAAGGCTTTCTTTCCCAAAATTTATTCCACAGACTAATCATAAAAATAACAGAGTATGCTTGCACTCTTCAACACCATCAGGTCATGAAAACAATCTGGTACTTCCTCAAAATGTTCACCATAGAGTTACCATGTGACCCAGATATTCCACTCCTAGGTACACAGCCAGGAGAAATACCAACATATGTCAACATAAAAAGTTGTACATGAATGTACATAGCATCATTCATAAAGTCAAAAGTGGAAACAACTCAAATGTCCATCAGTTAATACATGGATAAATTGTCATATAATATAAATTGTCATATAATATTTGGCAATTAAAAGGAATGATGTAGGAGTGAATACATACCACAATATGGATGAACCTTGAAAATGTTAAGCCTAGTGAAAGAAGTCTAATATGTAAAAGACCACATGTTATATGGTTCCTTTTACATGAAGTGTCCAGAGAGAACCCATCAACATGCTGTACCCAAGCCATTCCGTTCTTTACATTCTGACTTGCTGAAAGCTCTTTCTGGTGGATTTGGGTAACAGCCCCACCCACTTTCCTGACCCATAATGTTCAAGCTGCAGTTCAGGTTTTTGTTCACTAGATGACACCAACTTACCAGCATCATCAAAGTTCTCTACTGAGAATGGTCTGCAAAGAGAAAAAAAAAAAAAAAAATCTCTGGAACACCCTGGCTTTGAACATATAAAGAATGGTTCTAATCCTGTCTGATGAAATTGATAGGTATAAAATAAGATTGTGAAAATATGTAGTCTTGTGTCTGCAGACGATAAAACACCAGGTGACACTAGCACACATTGGCAGTCTGGCCTGTGTGCAAGCTCAGTACAAGTCAGAACAGAAGGGCTGTGACTGACAGAGAATGAGCATCAGAATGAGGAGTGGGCAGCAGTGCCTTGTGTTATGGAAAAAGGATGACAAACCAAGTGGGAGAAGATCTGGGCAGCCTGCGCAACAATGGAGCAATGGAGGGTGAGCACCTTGTTCTCTAGTAGGGACCCTCTGTACAGTCCACACTGTACATCAGCAGATAGTGATGTGGAAGAGACAGATCAATGAACAAGTTGAAGTTTGGGGTCTGCAGTGAATGGATTTGCTTTAATATACATGTGAATTTTATAAGTAGAATTGAAATCATAGTAAACACAACCATCTCATATTTTTTACTGTATCTAAAATGTACTCATTTTAATTAATAAAAATAAATGTGATGTCTTTGGAAGTCATATCCAGGATGACAGCTCTGAGAGTGAGACCAGGGGGCTCCACAAAGGGGAGGGAGGATGGAGGTTGGGAGCTTGACTTCACGGGATCAGCCATATTTCTGGATTTTCACCTACCTGGAACACTCTGTCTGTATCCATTGCTTTTCTAGGATATAAAAAAAAAATAGATTTTCTGGAATATCCTTACCTGAGATTGGATATCCATATCCAGTCTGAGTAGAAAGGAAAGCCACAACTGTGAGAGTATATGGAGGTGATAGAGCTAGAGGGGATATAGAAACATACACACACAGAGAATAAATTCATTTTTTAGATTTATTTATTTATTTTGAGAGATAAAGCATGTGACTAGGGAAGAGGCAGAGAGAGAGGGAGAAAAAGAATCCCAAGCAGCTTCCATGCTCAGACCAACTCTGGACTCCACCTCACAACTGTGAGATCACGAACTGGGCCAATATCAAGAGTTGGATCCTTAATGAACTGAGCCACCCAGGCACCCTACAATTCAATTTTTTAAGAGGAAATTGAATGGTTTAATTTGTGGAGTCAACAGTTGTTTGTTCTTGATTACAGCATTCAACAGGTAAGTCACATTCACATCTTGGTACATAAGTGGTACCCTGCCACTTCCTTGAGACAGTTGATCCAGATAGAATTATTCCTGGCCAACACTTACCTATGTGTCTGCCAGAAATTTCCCTCTGTCCCTTGAATAGACATGTAAACTCTCTCTTATCAAAAATTCCTGGTAAATGTATTTTCTTCAATTCAATAGCCATATACAGTAGAGCACCACGGATTTGTCAATGGATTTGATATATTATGAACCCCAGGTCAAGATCTCACATTATTTAACCTTGTCTTTTATGATCCAAAGGGAAGTTTAGAATCCAGCAGGGTCTCAGTGTCACCAATTTTCACTGAAGAGTTATTAAGCCATGGAAAGGGTTTGCTAATTTTATGCTGGCTCTGGGTATTTACTTTGAACACAGTTTATTTGAATAAGGTTTTGAACATTTGCTCTGCATGTCATTTTGTAGGCTTAAAATAAAAAAAAACAGGAGTTTAAATTTGCTCATCTAGGGTTTACATTTTTGGTAATGAAAATGCATTATTTGAGTAAAGAAAGCTATAAAACCCTAACCAAAAATTAAAAGTAAAATACAGGGTATTGGATCCCAAGAAAACAAGAGTTTCCTCTGGCAGAAGTCAGGCTGACTGCACATAATAATTAGGTATAATTGACAATGCCTTTTCCACAGATTTTTTTTGCCAAGTTTGTATATTTTCAGTAGCTTAAGTTTTCCCCTTTTCTCTGATTTTCATTACTACCATCACTAGGAGGAAAATTTAAAACATCTCAAAAACAGCTATTTCCAAGTAACACTATTCCAAGTAACAGCTATTTCCCAACACACACTCCTTATATTTCCTCTGGTTTCAAATATGAAAGAGATCTCAGCTCAGACAAGAAGGATCTTTGCCATACAGCCACCAGCTCATGCATCCTCCTCTTTATTCTGAGAGGCTCCAGTTTACATGAAAATTACAAGGTAAAGTATTTCTCCAAGTTTCTAATATAACTAATCACTCCTTTTCTTCAAAAATAGAGGTCTATGATT